CCCCCACATACACACGGTAACCATGCGCCAAAAATGACATAACAATAACCTACCCCTCAATCGCTCGATTAGCGAGAAAGATCGAACAACAACGCCCCCCAGTAACGTTACATGCAGTTATAGTAAGCGAGTTTTTTTCTTTGCACTTTGCTTGGCGGGGGAGAAAGCGCCGAGGGAGGGGGGGGAGAGATTGGGTGTGCAATCGACGATGGACTGGTTTCGATGGGTGCCGGGATAGGAAAGTTGTGTGCATGTGTTTTGAGGTGCGCTGTGGAGATGTGATAGGGAGGGGCTTGGCGCTCGAGGGATTGGATTGGATTGGATTGGAGTGGGGATAAGCGGGGAGTGGAGTATATAGGAGGATTGATGGATGGATGGGGTGAGGAGTGATATCTATGTCTATATCTATATCTATATCTCGTTGAGGGGTTTGGGTGGGTGCGTGGTGGTGTAGGTGTGGTAGGGGATTTAACGGGTGTGGCTGATGAGAATGGGGGGTGTGATGGTGGTGGTGGTGGTGGTGGGGTTATTTGGTACTGACGTTTTGTGAACCGAAGTTTTGAGGTTGGGGATGTAAGGGGGAAACGGTGGAGGGTGTTTTGCTACTACGGCTAGTGGGTTGGGAAAGAAAAACATCTTGCTGTTTTAGTATCGTGTGAAATGGCGTTTCGGGTAGGTAAGGTACATGTAAATTTTCCGAGTCTTGTAGGTGAAATAGTGGAAAAAGATGTAGTTAGGTTGAGAGATACAGGTTGGACTTGGATCGGTGGATATATATTTCCCTTCCAAATAGGTGGTAGGTATGTCATAGACGATTTATATTGAGATGGAGACATTTTAGAGCTCATCTATCGTAGTAGGTACCACGACAAGGTATATTTTTTGTAACTGATCTCGCAAACGTTTGACGCTATACTGCTGTTACCTCCCCCCTAATCCGCACATACCCGTGCGTCGAAACCCTAAACCGCCTTTCATATATCTATACAAAACTCAGAAGCGTCCATGCACACTCCATGTCGACTCCTTGGTTGTCTCGTTCAGCCATTGCTCCATGTGCCATGCTGTCCTTCCTTCTTTTCCCTTTGGTTCTTTTGCATCCTGGGTATTCTGTTGTTTCCATGTCAGTTATCGTATGTAGTACCCATGTTTTCGATGCATGTACGAACCGGCGCAACCTTCTTACTAGAACTCTTATTCCCGCCGTTTGTTCTATCAGAGTCGCTAGTAGTTTGGTCATCCGGTTTCAGATTGGATGGACCCGTTGGAGCAGACATGTGTCTTGTTTGGTGGTTCTGCATGGTGAGGGAATAGTTTTTCCAGAGAAAGAGAGGTAGGTTAACCAAAGGTTTGAATATGAGCTTCAGATATATGATTTTTTTCGGTTTGTTTGCTGTTTGGATCGAGTTCGTACATCCTATCTCATCTATATAGTTGTTCATCTTCGTATCCTCTGGTTGGTGTTGAGGGCCGCAAACTACGCTCGTGACGAGTCTGATTCGCGGCCGCAGTACTCGTTCAGGTGAGGACTGGACACTGTTGAGGGCCGCAATATGAGGAATCTTGATTGGAGGCCGCATCGCTTCTGTAGTGAAATGACGGCCAAAGAGCGGATGAAAGTACCCACTTCTGGAGTTGGGACGTAATTTACCGGCATTCTCAAACTATGACTGGTGGCCGCAATCCTGCATTCCATTTGACAACACTAGGCCCATGTGGATGAGTGTCGCGATTTTTGTATGGGAGCATAAGGGTAGACAGGTCGGGTACGCTGGTTGGTGGCCGCAAATATCAGCCAATCGAATCACAGCAAGATCCCCACTTTACCAAGCCCATGATGGCCTGCCATGCGCTTGGAAGAGATAAGAAGGAGGATATTTTGGCATTTGCCATGACTTATTCAGCCTCATTGTCTTGGCCTAACCGACATGGGTAGGACGTAGCGATTGGATGAGAAGTCAGGCCGCTGGATTGAGCTGAGCCACTTTTCAGCCTTGTCCAAGTATCTCCATCGCTGTTTAACCTGAGAAGAGCCTCTCAACACTTGCTTTGCGACCTACAAACTACTATCTATGAGATATCACAGGCTAAAATTCTGACTATATCAGCTATGTTGTCTGCAGCACAGGCGCACACCTCTCATTCGCAGAGAAGCTTCTCCGCGCCTCAATCCGATGCCCAGACAAGAAAACGTTGGGGGTCAAGACCATGGAAACATAGGAAGTCGACGAATATAGCATCCATCAAGAGTTACTCTAGGGTAGATGAAGAATCACTCCCACCGGATGTAACGTCGGAACATCGACCCTTCATACACATATTCTTAAGCCGGGAGCTGCACATCCATTCCACAGAAAAAGTGGCAGTACGTAGCGCGTATTCCCAAGAAAGGTTCCGCCGCTCTTTCCGTTCAGAGGGTTCGCAGATTGCTTGTCAGCGTCATGGCAGAAGTGACCGTAGGACTTACTTGCTTTTAATAATTGAGGGTTTGGCACAACACATGTCCCCGGAACCTCATTTCGATTCAGTTTCGTGTAAGATATGGAAGAAAATCGAGAAATCAATTCGCAACAAAGGCACCTCTCGACCAGATCCAGAAAGCCAAACAAGTCAACAACAACAACCTCCATACGAGAAACGGCTGTGCTGCAAGCCATATCACAGAAACAAGGTGCAAAGGGAGCTTTCCTGGCTTTCCAAAATCTTGACAGTGGATGGAACTACGCACGATCCCCATACCCATGGCTTTGAGGATACGCCTGTTTCTCAGGGTGGAAAACACCATACAAAAGTAGCTCAGAACATCAAAACCTGGGAGTCTAAACCGGAGATTGCTGAGAACATGAACAAAGAGCCAGCGGGTGCATTCATACGGTTCACCTGGAAAGACGGAGTCTTAGCCAACGGATCCGGACAACTAGATCGGTTCTTATCAACCGGCTCCATACTACACAGCCGTTGGCATGTCGCTGGGTTTCTCCGGAACGAAAGCTTTGCAGACGTCTACTCGCTAAACAAACCTCCCCTCACTCTTTTGTCGGGAGAAATCGGAGCATCACTGGAGGCACACGTATTCCTCGATGAGTACTATGGAAACTGCGCCGCCTACGCCAGTCGCTTGAAGAACCGCATGCGACAAAGCGGAAACTGCCTCGACATTTTCTGGCACAGCGGCAGGCACGTGTTTATAATGAAGTTGCCAAATAAGCCTGTTCTGTTCAAATTACGTAACACGAAGGAAGAGTTTCCTGCTCTTGTCGATCAAGACAAGTGCAATGAGAGGATGGCTCTACAGCGTCGCCGTTTCCGTGGCAGACCTAGTTTTGCAGTAACGGCTGGAGGTGAGTGGCCAGATGCAAGTCCAGAGTTTCGACCGGTGCCGGTGAATGAAGGCAAATCCGCGCTGGAGAAGGAGTTGGAAAGGATTGAAAAGGCGCGGGTGAAGAAGGCGGAGAGGCAGAGAGTGAAGCGGAAGTTGCAAAGGGAGAAAAAGCATGTGGAGAAGGAATGCAGATCGGTTATACCAATGGCGCTTATGGGTTCTTCATGAGTAATGCTTCAACTCTTTAGATGTTAGCTGAATCTAAACATCGATGTTCTAGCTCTAATTTTTATAGAATGATCAAGCTTCATCACGAATCAAAAAAAACTCGTCAACTCATAATCAAAACATAGTATTTGAAACGAAGATAAGTCCGCGGCTTCTCTTTTCCCGGAGTCCCTCGCTCGAGCTATTGCCCGTGGCTTCTCCGTTTAGCAAGCGTACCACGGCTACTTGATTTTGACATCAGTACGGCCTCCTGATATTCCTCTCGAGCGCCACTACGCTTCCTTCCACAGTGTCTTTACCTTCCGGGATATTGTAGGCCGGTTGGTCCTCTGCCTCAAAAGCATACTGCAGCTGCTAGACTCGTGTTCGAATACCTCCAGGCCCCTCCTCAATCTACCAAGCTTTGCCGATGCTTCTCTTTCGTAAGAGTACCTCTCTCGAACCTCTATGACGTTCTCAATGGATGGAAATTCCCTGGCCGCGCCATCTCTGTCAGGCGCAAACTACATGCAATCAACTGACTCCTCGGCGGCGGCTGCGAAAAGGAAAGTCCGGTCCGTTTGCTCGAATACCTGCCAAAGAATGGGCAGATCATGCACACTAGTCGACGACTTCGACCCTCGGTGATTGAACTGGAAGAAGATGAAAGTTACCAGGAAAATAAAACCAAAAGGAACCAGAAAGCCTCAAGGGGGCAAAAGCCAAGGACAGGTGTTAAAAACTTCGCCTTTTCTTCCTTGATGGACGCATTCCACAAGGTCTAAAAGGTGAACGTTGTAACAAATGGCAAAAGGGCAAAGGCCAGAGGAAACATACAAAAACACTCCGATATCCCCCACTTCAGGTTGTCTCTTTTACCTTTTCTCTCGGATGGGAACGGTTAACGACTCCGTGCCCACATCAATGCCATCCAGGTTGATGATGGTAGCTAGTAGGGCAAGCGCCTACATGAGTGCAACGAGCGTCTTTTTTTTGACAAACAAGTCTTGATGTTCTTCGAGAAGAGGCCCTTCCATGGTCTCCCATACCCCAGGATATCTTTGCGCACCTCTAATAATAGAGGATTTTATAAGCCATGATCATGCTGACATGTCCATGATCTGTTCGATGTACAGAAGTGTCTTGATTTAGAATTGGAACTCCACCGAGGGTGTGTGGAGTGCGATCCGTAATACCATAATACAGATTCGCTTCGACTCGCAGTCGCAAATATCGTTGAGCAAGTCATGATGTTGACTGGATTTGTAGTGTCCTGGATTTTTGGTGTGTTATGAGCAAGCACAAGGGTTCTTGTTGCAGGTCCTACAACGATGGTTCTCTGCCTTGGACGTGCGTAAGTGGCGTACAAAAATGTCTTTTCGAGCATAGGGTTTGGATCTGCAAAGGCACATGAAGCTACTCGCCCAGAGGGAGTCATTCTTGAGTGCAGGACACGAAGGCGATGCGTTGTTCAAGCCCATGTGACGTTTAAGATCCTTTGCAAGTTTTATTGACCGTCCGCACTTCTCGCATCTGGAAGGTGCTTTGCAGTTGTGTAGATTGGCACGCCTGTTCGGAATAGATTTCCTACAAGTCTTACATGTGAACCTCATCCCTACGGGTTTGATGGCTACTTTGCCGTCTGGTATGTCTAACTCGATTTGAGTTGTGGCTGATGGGCTTGCTACTTGAGGGGTGAGTTGGCCGAGAGATGGCAATGACGAAGGGCTTGGGTAAGCTTCAATGCTCATATCGTTAGGCATGGTTGGTGCTCGTGCGTTTGTACCCTGTGTAGGGCGTGGTTGTTGTGGAGATAGTTGCGATTGCGAGTTTTCGGCTAAGGTCTGGTTGGTGTGTTGATCGAGCCATGGCCGAGAGCAAGAGTGAGGTTCGTGTACGTGTTGAGTTAACACACTGGGATCGATACACCCGGAAGTGCTTGAATACCCGGCACCTGAGGTTCCTTGGTGAACACTCTCGTCCAGGGTACCAAGAGTTTGCGTAGTATTAACACTCTTGTAGCTGCCGTATATTGTATTGCCCAAATAGTCTGTCTGCTCCAACAGGCCACTCTGTGAACACGCATTGTTGCTCCCTGAATAACCAGGTATCTGACCGTCCACCAGCGAGACCGAATCGTATAATGGTTCATCAGGACTGAATTGGAAAGCTTCTGAGGGAAAGAACAGATCTGGATCTTGCTCTATGCGATGATCACTGGACAGCAGTTAGCACTAGCGCTATACAGCCATTTTCTCGACATTGCATACTAGTTGTAGCCGAAGATTGTTCAAGCGGCCTATATAAGGCCGCTTAAACAAGGCGCTACTTTACAAGAAACCTGGGTTCACCCAGCAGGTGCTTAGCGAATGCGGGGGTGCTGCGGCAAAGCCGCCTGATAGTCCACGATATACGTTAAGCTCAATGTAGGGCTCGGATTTTGTAAAAGAAGGGTTTCACAGAGTTGAGAAAGAAAGGAAGGGTGCTCCAAGGCTTATATGTGTGTTTACATGCATGGTGTAGCTGGGGCGGATCAACGAAGCGTCTGATTGGTGGCCGCAAAAGACTGCCTCGAGGCTGATACACGCGATCAAGTGTGGCCTACGTCAGTGGGGCGGCAGCCACTGCCATGCGGAGGATATGTGTCTACGTGGCTTTATCGCATTCGTGAATCATAGGGAATGAATTGATGTGATATTAGGTTGTTACAATTGACAAGGCAAGGTTGCAGAAGGAACGAGGTCTCACGTGACCATCTGCTGCTCTACACTTCACTTGCCTGGCTGCCTCCTTTGATACGTATGTACATACATCAAACTTCCTATTGCCTATGGCCTATGGGGTTGTTCTCATCTTGTCTTTCTACTTTAATTTATTAATGACAGCACATATGATCCAGTGATGCTCTGCGTCATTGAGGCGCAGTGCTGCAGCCACTTGGGGGCTGAGTATATCTCTTAACACCTACAAAATCAATTACCAAGGGGCGAAGCAACAATTTATGTTTCGACCAAGACGTCCTCGAGTTTCTTCTGATTCTTGTCGCTCTAAGGTCCTTCTCCTTCGGTACTGATTCTTACCATTGTGTTCATAAAATACGGAAAGATAGCTTTTCCGCCCCCAATACTCCCCTCTGAATGCCTAGCGACGTGGTCCATCTCGGACCTTTGGAACCAACCATGAGTATGACTGAAAGTACGACCGTTAGAACGGAGAATTCAGAAATACATGTAGTTGAGGCAAATTTGAGTAGTACTCCAATTCCTCCCGTCGGACGTAATCCTGCTGATGGAGGGCCTATAGAGACTTCGGCCCATAACAATGGAGTACAAATAGGAGTAACGCATGAAAGTCCTATGGACCCTAATCAGAACATAATATCACAAGTCGATTTTGGCAGGGGCAACTCTGGGTTTCAAGCCGGTGTCATTAACGGTGGTGTCAGCGGCATCAGCTTCCACTACTCAGAAAATCAGTCGATATTCGGTAGCCTTGTACAAGGAAGTCAACCTCTAGACACATTCACCTTGGAGATTCTCGCAAGAAGAGCCCAAGTCCAAGCCGGAAGAAGTGTAAGTACAACATTAGGCAGCAGGGGCAGCCGCATCGTCAATGGAAGAGAAACTTTTTAAGAAAACATAGGTGCCTAGGCAGTTACAAGACAGATGCTACGCTCCATACAAGACCGTGAGAAACCGAAGGATCAAGTTGAGGCTCCTTCAGATCGCCAATGTCACCAAATTTCTCGATCGAGGCTTCGCGGAATACTTTCAAGTCGCCGTGCTCTCATTTGGCAAGCAACATGCCCAGCAGCTACTGCAAGATGCCCGCAAGACCATAGCCAGGATGCAGAACAAGCAGGACGACCCTGACTCTGCTGACATCGGCGACCTCGGCCACTTTTGTGAACAGAGCGCAATCACCTCGGGTAACTCTAAGCAGCGGCCTCCAAGATTCACAATTACCCAACGGCGCGATGAAGAAACATTACACTATCTGCAAGATGCGCTCGAGATTCCTTACTGGGAATTCATGGTCGACATATTTTTGGGATGGAAGGCGAACTCGAGTGCTTTAAGTGGAGACGTCGTGTTGCGTGTTTTGCACAGCACAAAACTGGAACTTCTCGATGGACGACGGCGTCTTATGGATGAGATGGCCACTTTGCAGGGCGATGATGCAGAGGATATAGCACCGATCATTGATGGGATTGATGCTAGAATCAGGGTTTTGGATAGCCTTTGGGATAGTGCATCATCCAATCCTGATGGCACTCATTATTCATTGGTCTCCTTTTTGGAGCAGCCGCTACGCCAGCCTTTGATTGCTGTCGAAGAGACGCCGCTTCCATCTCAAGATGAACAGATCGGACGTCAAGTGGTAAGCTCTATCTTTAAGTTGCCTTTCATTGTAAAAGAGGCCAACACATTGATGTAGGAAACCGCAACACTGATCGCCCTAATCCTACTCTTCATCATCGTCGCTACAATCCCCGGATACAAAGCTTTCGCGCTTTCCATGCAAGACAGCGCGGTTGGAAGTATCGGAGATGCAGATTTCTGGTATCTGATCCAAAGCAGTATCATGGCAGTAATGGGCAACGTCATCATGGTTGTACCCTTGTTCAAGAAGTCGTGGTTCTCGCCAGCATACGGTCTAATGTGGGGATTCTTCGCCCTCGGCCTTACTTTTGCAATCGTCGCTGTTATCATCTACCCATTACTCAACCCTGGCTGGAGCTCCATGGTCGCTTTCTTTGGCTCCATCGCATCCGTTGCATCAGTATTGATAATGACCCAGGCAACCGCACGGGAGGGAACCAAGACCAAGGTCAAAACCGAATAAGCCTGGCAACTTCCTTCAATGCAATCAAACAAAACATCATATCGATATCGTCTACTCCAGACAAGCATAGCCAAAGACAAATACAAGAATTTGCAAATTCCCAACCCCCCCCCCCTCTCCCAAAACTTTTCATACACACCGCTACCTCGCTCCTTGAAATATACACTACCAGTCCCCACCAATATTCCAACAACATCCAGCCCTCCCTCCCCCCCGGCACCACTCCGGCCCCACCGCGAAATCCCGCACCCGCAAACACTACCGAATCCAGTTAAAAACCCCACAATAACAACAACAACCCCCCACGGCCCTAATCCGTCGACACGACCACTTCACTCCCCTCGGCACAATCCTTCCCTCCACAACACACACTCACACACCCCAAGACTAGCGTTCTAAATCAATACATTGAGAGAATGTAGGGAAAACAAGTTAGCAATGCAAGCGAGATACTCGACGAAGTTTTATATTGATAAAAAAAAAGGGGGGGGGGGAATTTCAAGTTCAGCCCTACACATCGGGCCATTTGCAAACCGTAAGAGAAGTGATGAGCAAGCAAAGGTTATGCGGGAGGCGCTCAAACGTTACTTGCGGGTGTGGCTTACTAGAGAAGGTTTGTTGGATGAAAGGCGAAGATGTAAACTTTGTTTGTTGCATTCACCTGAGACTCAAGAGGATTGGGGGGTTTTTTTTAGAAAGCATTGTGCGTACGCACTTTGATTCATTGAACTTGACATTACACTAACATTTTGTCTAAACTATCGTGTATCTCCTCCATTTCTCATTGTGAATTAATCGTTCGTTCGAGTAGACATCTGTATCTCTGTATTTACGAAGTGATGCCGTTGTAAAGGCACTTGATGGGGCTATCAGTGTAGGAGACCCTAGCTGTGAACTCGATGCAAGAGGGGGAGGCAGGGAACTCTGGGTTGTTGACGTTGACGCTGTAGCCCTGGCCGTTGCGAAGGGGGCAGCCCTGGAAGTTGAGGGCGCGGACACCCTCGGGCGAGTAGTCGACGAGGAACAAGGCGTCGTCCTTGATGGTGAACTGGGCAAGCTCGAAGTTCTCGTCGGGCTTGGGGTCGACGCCGCTGTAGAAACGAATGCGGCTGTTGCCGAACTCAGAGAGGTCGACGAAGGCGCGGACAGGTGGGAGGTCGGTGTAGAGGTAGAGGGTGTTGGTGTCGTTGTTGAGGGTGAAGCTAGCGTAGTTGATGTCGGGGACGCCGCAAGAGGCGTCTTGCTTGGGGCCGATGGCAAGGCCGTTGTCGTAGACGCCGACGGCGCCCAGATGGATGGGGCTGGTACCGCTCAGAGGGACGATTGAGAAGACGGTGGAGGCGCTGGCGAGAGCCATGGTGGAAGCGAAGACTGCGGAGGTAGAGAACTTCATGGCGACTGTTTGGGGTGTGGTTTGTGTTGTGAAGGAGTTTTGTATTGTAGCGAAGGTGTTGTGAGTTGGTTGTGGTGGATGAGAGCTACAGCAGCTGCTCACTCGACCTTATATACCTTTGTAAACACCATCCATGTGGTAACAAAATACGAGGGTGGTGGCATGTCGCCGAGCATTTCTCCATAGGACCCCCGCAAAAATCCTATAAATACGATCGGAAGTTCAGGGTAAACGGAAGTGATGGACAGTGGTTCCAGTTCTGGTTGAAGCGGCCGGCCCACCCGCTAAATTCTCCGGCTGACATCCGAAAAAGGACATGCTATTAGTGCTAAACGTCAGGTTGAAGGGAAATGGAAGGTGTTTTCCAGTCACAGGATGTACTTAGCAAGGTGCTAAAATTCAGTCTAGAAGACCTATCTATAGAGGTGAGGTGCTGGGTGGGAAGGTGTAGAAACGGAACTCGGGAGAATTCTTAGAAAGGACTAGTAACGTGATGACGTCGTGGACAAAGTGACGATGAGATGGCTACGAGGTTACATGCCGCCGTATTTCGGTGGCGAGGGATGGTGCCCATGCAGGGTTTGTACGAGAAACTTAATCCAGGCGGTAAGAAGCAACGACGTGGTTTGGACTGAGGGAGGAAGTTGATCAGTGGCGGTAAGCAGGAACAGGCTAGGAAGTGGAACCGGGATGCCAGAGTCGGCACCACGATCCACGATGGTAGGCGAAGAGCGGCAACGATGCCAAGGAGCATGTATTGCAAAGGATGAAGTGCATGTATCTATTCCAGTATAAAGTTCATGAGATGGAATGGTGACTTTGTGAAGTGGTGGGTGCGCAGTCGATGTGAATTCGTATTGCTACGGAATCATACCACTCCGATTGTTTGGGTTGACTGTGGGAGATCAACAGTGTCAGCTTATACACATGTACATAAGTACTTGCCATTTGTTGGGCCGTACGAGTCGCTTACCATGGAGACACATTGGCTGCGGAGATGGTCTTTTCGAGTTTGCGGACGATCACATGGCAGTGAGTCGGCAGATGATGTCTTGGCAGCGCTATTGGGAAAAAGGCATATGTGCATGTATGCCGACTTAGCCTAGACGTTCTCTTGTTGGTGATATTCACAGAAGTGTGTATGGCTTGCTGGGACGCATTCTTTGTGCAGTTGTACGTAAGAATCCATGGCCAAGGTGGAGAGGCAGCCCCTTGATGGCGCAGCAGCCAATGAGAAGGGCGACCAGGTATGACGTTTAGCGCGGCAGCTTCGTGCCCTCGCCTCGTAACGTCTCGTCGCAAGCCCGGGTTGCGCAACACCAGCCTCTTGTCTCCTTCACCTACGCTGCCCAACGGAGCCACATTCAATCATCTCATATTCCATCTGTCGCCGTCGTCTCCGGGCTCCAGCCAAAATTAGTCACCGTGCGGTTCCCTCATCTTGCCAGCCAATCCTCGGCCATGGACTTCTCCGACATTTTGTGAGTACACCTGGAGCTTTTGGGAGCTGCACACGACCGTGCAGCGCTGTGCAGCGCTGTGCACCACCTCGCGCCAGAAGCTCCAGCCTCCATATTGTTGAGCCGATGACTAATGCACCTCCAGTCGCATGGTGAATTTCGCCGTTGCCGTCTTTGTAGTCCTTGGCGGTATCGCGAAGCTCTTCCCCTTCAATGACTTGTGCGTATGCCCCATGTGCACTCGACTCGAATGGTCCCAAGATGCCATTGACAGGGTCTGGATTCACTTGTCCCGCGCTGACCGTACTTCAGCTCCCACATCATCCTCGGTGTCTACCTAATAATCTTTGGACTTGGTAAGTCGGTGCCTAGTGCCATGCAATGACGACTGCTGACCTGGACGCAGGAACTGCCCTCCTTGAGTTCCAGATCCCCCAACAAGTGGCGCGATATGCCTCGTTCATGTTCTCGTTCCTCGGCCGCGGCATCTTCTACATCTTCATTGGCTCCGTCGTCGTAGGTGACGGCTGGTACCGCATCATACCCGGTACCATTGTTGGCTTCATTGGTGTAGCCTATGCTGCTCTGGAGTTTGTCCCCTCAATTGAGCCCCCGGCGAACATGCGGTATGCTGGAAATTGCTGAAAACGCTGCTTGTTGCATATCTGACCGTACCTAGTGATGCCGATGCCGGCTGGGGCGCCGAGCAAGTCTAAACTTGAAATTGACGACGAAGAGGATGGCGCTCGAAGAGTCCTCGTAAAGATATTGCCCGCAAGGTCTTCAGCCTAGGCGGAGACCTGGTCGCGCGCTTTTCCTGCATCCCAAACAGGGATTGTATGTGGTTGGTTGGCGGGAACAATGAGAGAAATTACTGCTATTATCACAAGTTGTTGGAGGGGATCTAGGTCTCAGACTTGGAACAGACGAGTGGCTACTCTGGAATCTCAACTTGAGAAGGAGAGCAAGTCACTGCTTGGACGGGTGGGGTGTAGCATAAGTAGTGTGTAGGACAAACAAACAAGGTTGTAGTACTTGGCGAGGACTCGCTTGCTTGGTGTCGGCATTACATGGGGCGGAGACATGTTTGTCGCATGCTTGCATGTATATATACCAGTGTGTGTCCATGGTCCAAGGAGGAAGCAGGGTATAGGTACATGAGCAGATGCATGGTATTGCTTTGGCCTGATTGGACGGCTGGCATGCATCAGTGGCGTGTGGAGAAGGTCGCGTTATCTATCGCTAGTCGTAGGCGAGGCGGAAGGCGATCCGCTGACAGTCGGTCCATTTGGCAAGGCTTGAGTGGAGACGAGCAAGACTGATGAAGAAGGCGAGTGTTGCTGCCCGCCACAGCAGATGGTTTAGGGCCCTTGATGCCTGGGCAGCCGCTGTGCATGTACTCTACTTGCGGTCGAGCGGTGGTTGGCTCCCGATGCGAACGGGTGCGCGTGTGCGTGTTAGTACATAATGACGAGGCTGGACCGCTCTCCGCTGGTCGCTCTCGACTGCCCCCATGTTGAAGGCGAGCGAGGACGTGCTCACAGAGGGTCATGGCGCCAGCCCTTGGCTTACAATAGCAAGGGCGTGATTGGCCACGGGCGCCCATTCACCGCCTGAGAAATCCATCTGGTACCGCACCAGCAGCGCACCTGGCCGAGTGGCCATGCTGTCTTGGATCATCACCACGGAGATCCCGAGCCCACCTAATATATCTCCGTGCGAGGCACACAGCCCTCAATCCTGCCCGTCTGCCCGTCTGCCCGTTGACTTGACCTTCCCTGTGCTGCACCTGACCACCGTTGTACTCGTACGCCCCCAGGACCCGCATAGTCACCCAAACACACATTAGCGCCTGCTGCATCTGCCACTACACTGCCCGACATATCTCCTCCACGCTAGATCAAAGTCCGGTACCTGCCGGCCCAAGCCACTACTTGCGCCTTTCTGCTTCAGACAGTTCTCTGTGTGTGTGTGTGCAATTAGGCAACAGTACTTCACTGTCATCCCAACGAGACCCTTCTCTCCACATACACATCCCATTCCGAGCAAAGACGAGGCTCTCGCCTCATGGCGCATCCCTCGGGAAGTGGAGGCACCTCATTCGCTCCTACCCCTACGCATCCGCACCAGCTGTCTAGAGAAACCAGCAGAGACGAATTGGAGATGGCTGAGAGTCTCCGCTTACTGAACCAGACTCACGAACATCAGAAACCTAGGGCAGAGTCCACTTCGCAAGAGCAGCAACAGCAGCAGCAACAACAACAACAACAACAAGAGCAGCAGCATACCAATGCCCAGGAGGACCAAAGATCCGAGATATACCACTCTCTTGAAGATGCCGTGCCCATTGCAGACGGTCCCCCAACCCCTTCAACGGCAGCATCGCTACAAATACCCAGCGTGAATTATGAGACTCCCAATGCATCCATCACTGGGCAGATTTGCAGGTATGTTGTCTGCTTTTTCCGCAATCCGCTCATTTCATCTACTACTGGCTGTGGGCGCAATGCTGCAAAGGGTCTGCAAGGAAATCGCTAACGGACCCAAGTAACTGCAAAACAACGCAGACGCCACTTTGGCGCCGGTCGCCTGCTGGGGAGACAGTGTGCAATGCTTGTGGCTTGTACATGAAAGCACGGAATCAGTCGCGGCCAGTGAACCTCAAACGCAACACACAGACTCAGCCAAATATGTCTGTACAGCAAAGCCCGACTCCAGCATCTACCGATGGCGGCCGAACCTGTGCTGGAAATGTTGCCGGTAGCCCGCGTGTCGCAACCTATGTTGCTGCCGATCAGATGGCGGCCGGCACATGCCCAGGTGGAGGCAGGTGTAATGGTACTGGGGGCCAGCAAGGCTGCAGTGGCTGTCCCGCATTTAACAATCGTGTATCAAAGACAGCCAAGTTTGCACTAGCCCAAGCAAATGCTGCACCTGGTGAGAACCGGGGCGGGAGTGATGCCGCGTCTTCGACTTCTGCCTCTGCGTCAACAAGTGCAATCCCAGCCTGCCAAAACTGTGGAACCACAATCACACCTCTCTGGAGACGAGACGATGCTGGACACATTATCTGCAATGCCTGTGGTAAGTTGGTAGTGCCATATCAACCTTGCTGTGTAGTATCGATAGATGACTAATCCTCTATACAGGACTCTACTACAAACTCCACGGAACCCACCGCCCTGTTGCAATGAAGAAGCAGGAGATCAAGCGTCGCAAGCGAATCGTACCAGCCGCCGACACAGGCTCGCAAGCCGCATCATCAGTCGCAAACTACTCGCCTCCACAGAGACCTTCTCAAACCCCTGCATTCGAGCACTCGGTTTCCCCAGATCCATCGACTGCACTGGAGTCTCGAGAAGACTACACACCCGAGCCATACAGGGGACCAATCGCAGTCGACTTTACACATTACTATAGCAATTCATCGGTAACCTCGAATCCAGTGGCCCTCACACCAAATATGCAGCCTAGCGCGCCATCGCCCAGAAAACGAAGTCGCAGCGCGACTTTGGATCCCGAAGAGCCAGTCAACCCACTGCCTCATCGTCCAAACGCGATATCATCTATTTTGAACCCATCCCAGACAGATGTTGACGCCAACATTGATCCGTCGCTGTCTGTCCCGCTCCGCACGAGTGGAGGAACATCGCCCAATTCCACCTTGTCCCAGGAAGAAAAAGCAGCGAAAAGGGAGAGACTTAAAAGGGAAGCAGAAGCTATGAGACTAGAATTGGAGAGACGACAAAAGGAGTTGGAGGAACTGGAAAATGATTGATATGTTTAGATGACTGTTATGAAAATCTCAGGGGAGATGGTTTTTACGAATGCCGTATGTTACCGGATATGCTATACTAAATGATAACAATAATTGGGTGGACGAACATGAATATTAGGAGATTTTGTAGGATGTTTTTTTTTATCAATGAGTAGCATGTGTGAAATGTGGCGTTGCGGGTCCAAGGGAACGCATTGTGGATGTATATCTCTTATTCATTACTTTTCCCCTTTACCACCTTCAAAAACTGGATCTTCACTCAGAAAAAAAAAGCGGCATTTGCATAGGATCCATTCCCTCAATGAATCGAGAAAAAAAAACTATGATATGAGAAACATACAAAATACACACCTCATTCACATGTACAAAAAAAACACCCATTACCTCTTACCCCCTCCCCAATCTTCCTCCCAACCTTCCCCCTTCCCCCATCTATTTCTCACTTTCCCTCAAAAGAAAAAACAGACTTAGACCTCTTCCCCACCACCCCCCCAAAATACGGATTCCGACTCCCCTCGCCCTCCTTCGCAAACATCCTCTCCTCATCCCAACAAATCAACCCCCCCTTCTCCACCAACCGAATCGCCTGGCCCCTATCTTCCAAGCCCATTGTGCAAACCCCCTTGTGCACCTTCCAATCACCCCTCTGACAAGCATCCGAACAATACGTCGCGGTCCCGCATTTCCCGCAGCGCTGCAACAACGCCTTGTCCTTGGCTGCTGCGGCGCAGAAAGTGCACTGGGTGAGGTCGAGCGGCGCGTACAACCAGTGGGGGGACATGGGAATGCCGTCGCCCCAGATATCCATGGGGGCGTATTCGATGCATAGGTTGTGTTTTATTTTGCGGCCGGTTTCCCAGCGGCGCGAGGAGACGAGGCCGAGGAGCAAGGCCGAGGCGAGGCGCGGGATTAGGAGTGCCGAGGTGATGTCGCGGGGGCCGAGCATGGATTCTTTTGGGTTGGGGATCCAGGTTCCTTTTTTTGGTTCATCTTCCTTTGCATCTTCGTTGGCCTTTTCTTCAGCGGTGTCGTTGGAGGTTCCTTCTTTTTCTTCTTCTTGGGGTTCTGAGCCTGAGGCGGGGGTTCCGGAGTTCTCAGTGGCATCGTCCAAGACGATGTTGTAGGTTAACATTATCGCCCAGTTCTCGCCACTTGCATCGAGCTGGCCGAATGTGATTTGGTTGCCGATACGCCCAATTTCTATCTTGCAGCCTGATGGCGTGTCTGGTTCGATGGAGACGGTCCATGTGAATGAGAACCAGGCGTCGAGATCGAGAAACGCGGCGAGGGCGTTGGGGTGCCAGTTATAGAGGAGGGTTGCTATGCCTATTGCTGGGGGGATGGTGATGTTTTTGTTGCTCATAGTAGTTTCTGATACTAGAGATTCTGTGTCGATAATGCTGAGGGGTGCGCCATCGACAATCAAAGGTGCGTCTGGGTAGTTTGGAAGCCGGAAGTCCGTTAATGGAATGTATTTGAGGGCCATTATTTTTCTATGGTGAGATGTGGGATAATGCGAGGAGGTCCTGGGTCACGGGCAGATTAGGAATGTATGTAGTGGGTAGTGAGTGGAGCGGTTTTGAAAATTCTCATTGGTTGGTTGGGTAGATAGTGCGTATGTTTGCAATGCTCACATTGACAAGTTGTGGAAGGCATGTAAAATTTATTTTCCGGTTATATCAGCAGCTTCTATGACTGGCTCGGTTATATGACTGCTTGCCACCACTTAGTTACCTCCATATCCCTGTAGCTGGTGCGGCTTGGGTCCCTTTTGAACAGGCACGCTGTCCAATATACTCGCAAACTTTGCGAGAGCAACATCCGAACTGGTCATGGTGTGCTTATACTTGCCGCCTCCAAATTCGAACAAGAAGTTCATAGGAAACCCAATGTCGAATGGAACAGCCGAATCAATATCGTCAATCTCCTCTTCAGTCAGCTCGATGGCCAGCGCCTCAATGTTTCCCTTGAGGTGGTCAATCTTGCGACCGCCGACAATTGGGTAGACATAAGGGTACTTATGTCGGACGTAAGCAAGCGCAATACTGGTGATCTGAGTGTTCTTTTGTGTCGCGACTGCCTCGAGCTTCTTGGAGATGGCGATGTGCTTTTCGGAAGCGGGGCCAAAGTTGCGGCCTTGCTCGTTGTTTTTGCGCTTTTCTTCAGTGGTAAAGTGGCCACCACCCAGGGCACCCCATGGGCACAGTGCCATTCCCTCTTCGCGGGCCATGGGAATAATGTCGCGCTCAAAGTCTCGTTCAGCAGCGGACCAGCGGCCCTGGTAAACACTGAATCCGCGCAATCCATGGTTCCGGGCATCTGTAGCCAAGTTAGTAAAGTTGAAACACGTGGTTGGGATTGATGACCGTCACTGACATTCATTCGCCTTGCTGACAATCCATGCAGGTGTGTCACTGACTCCAAGGTACAACACCTTTCCACTGTTCACCGCAGTGTTGAGGGACTGCATGAGCTCTGGGATGCTCGTGGTGAAATCCCACCAGTGCACGTACAACAAGTCAATGTAATCAGTCTGGAGCTTCTTCAATGATGCTTCTAGTGATACATGAAGAGATTTGGTACTTTAAATCAAGTCAGCATATATTTCCGTGTCGCTCCCTCCACCAGCACGTACCTGTTTCCTCCATAATTGACCTTCATTCGTGGCGCATTGCGTGGGTCAGGAAAGCAAGTAGTGAATTTTGTAGCCAAGACGATCTCATCTCGTACTTTACGCTCCTTCATCCACTCGCCAATCCATGTCTCAGACTCTTCAGCCTGGTAGTTGTTTGCACTGGATCAATATCAGCTCCATAATTCAGCATTCAAAGTGCTGAGCTGTCTAGTCCAATCACATCGTCTCGGATGATGCCGGCCAGATGAAAGGTCAACTTACGTGTCAATAAAGTTACCCCCTTGTTGGTAGAAGTAGTCCAGAATCTCAAACGTAGTCTTCTTGTCGCACTTGCCCATCATGTCTTGCCACGCATCACCAAAGTTCATAGCTCCCAGGCAAAGCGGGGAGACACGAACACCGGCTGTAGGCGACATGACGCGGTGGAACTCAAGAAGGGACGCAGCCTTTGGCACATCACCAAATGGAGAAGGCATCTTCAATGATTGATATGTAATGAGATTGATGCTGTAAGGTTTTGTGGTGATCGGAAAAGGGATTTGTGTTGGACTGGATGGTTGCTAAATCTATCGTTGCGGACAGCAGCTCCTCCTTATATAACAACAGCGTCTTTGAACCCACATGACGCAGAAAGACCAAATATGTTACTTAGCGTCTATATCCGGCTCAAAGTCCGATGCAAACAAAATCCAGACTACCAAGAGCTGCCGGGGACGATCATGATTATATGGCGTTAAGGCCGGTGCGAGGGGGGAATGGGTCTAGGATTCTTATCTCCGTCAAGTGCCGGGCGGGAGCGTCAAGCCTCGTACGTGTACCGTTTTGAAGCTGCAGAAAATTGCCCTTTTCAGAAGCCTGTTGAAATCTATGTAAAACGAATATGTAAGCAGATGGAGCCCGTGGGAATTGGTAGATGTACATTGGTCAAAAATGCACAATATCACAGACAAGAAAGTGCATGATACCCCGCTCCGAAAGTGCAACAACCTCGTACGACACTTGTAACATACGCATCATCATATCAAGACTCCATCTCAAATGCTCTTTTTCAACAACGAGAACGGACTTGTTTGCTAAACTCATTGCCCAATTTTTGGAGCCATGTCGATAGGAAAGAGCAGTATTTTAATATAGACGATAGAAGATGCAAATAACCACAACATATGTTGACTTTTTAGGGTATCCGTACCATGCAAAACTCCAGATAGATGCGTAAGATCAAACACAAGGCCTGAGATGCAAACATCTCAGCAGAAGCAACTAGTGCTTCTTCTTCTTTTTCTTCTTCTTGTTTTTGCTCTTCTTCTTGACCTCATCATCATCACCGGCGTCGCCCTCGCCTGCCGGGGCACCGAGACGGACATTTCCATACTTTTGCCGTATCTCCTGCTCAAAACTGTCCTTTTCCAGCCTGAACAGCGCCATGGTCGCTCTAGCATCCTCAACGGAACTATGCGCACCAACTTGTATCTCCACACCCAGCAACTTCTCTGCTAGCAGCTTCAGTCCTGGTGTACGCCCCGGTATTGATGCCAACTCCCTAAACTTCGAAAACTTTGACGTATCGCGAATGAGACGCTTGTCGTGCTTCAAGATGAGCACGTCGAGATCGTTTTTCACGGCGTGTCCAACTAGTATGCGCCCTTGAAGCAGTATCTTAAGGTCGTTCCGTACTTCGTCAAAGGGCCGAGCGACGTCTTTTCGCATGTGCCTGGGCTCAATTCCAGAGACGGCAGTTCGGTAGTCTGTGATCTCAATGTGCCGCGGTACCTGTACGTAGGAATCGTAGATCTGGTGACCGTGATAGTTGACCAGAGAAACTCGCGCAAGCGCCGAGTCGCGATTGGGTTCTGGTCCTACTCCAACCATTTCACAATCCAATGCCACGTATTTGCCGGGCAGCGCTACCTCTGACACGCCTTCGTTCTCGACATCGGGGAAATCGGGATGGGGTTCGAGGATCGAGGTTGCGGCTTCAGCATCCTTGGCGTCGCTGAGAAGAGGCGTCTTCTTGAGCGAGGGCATCGATGTGCTCTTGGAAAGTGATTTCGTCTCATGTCGCTTGACTGAGGCACCGACAGAGGCAGGCTCCTCCATCTTCTGTCGCTTTCTCGAGGGCAGAGATTTTCGTGGAGTGTTTTTCTCTGAACCATTCAAAGGCTTCACGGAGCCATGTTCTTGCTTCCCATTGGTGTGCTGAGATCTCTTGCGCTTGAGCGAAGCCTGCGTCTCGCTGTCCGGCTTCTTGTCCTTGGACGCTGCTGATGTAGAAGGCTTGAGTCGCTGTTGCAGGATCTTCCAGTTACTGGAGAGGCTACTCAAATCGATTGGAGCCATTCTGGAGTCACCTGCAAGGCATCGCGATGTGCGTATAGTAACTTGGCTGTGGATGTCGAGAATCTTGGCCGGATAACTTTCTGCGCAGCAAAAGTTCAGACCGACGCTAGCACCTTCCAGATGTCGGCCGAAGCCGAAGCCCAAGCGCCGACGACCAGGCGGCAACACTGCGACAAAGACCTACAGCATCGCCAACTTCACCGCGACATCAATCCCCCCAACACAGACTGCAATCTCCAATAATCGAGCAATAGATAGCGCATCACCATGGCGCCCCGAGAAAATTCTCATGAGCCGTCAGGTACTCCCGCGCCGGTGGAAACAGGATTTGCCACCCTTGCACAGCTGAGGTACGTATCAAACCATGCGCAAACTTTGGAGATGAATACTGATGTGTTGCGTGCAGAGTAGGCGTAAAGGCGTGGGTCGAAAAGGTACGTGAATAGCGCGCAGCGACGCCTTGCGCGACGCGAATCCTGGATCGCCAACACGATGTCGGTGAAATGATCACCAACTAACACCTCACAGGATGGCGAGAAACGCAAAGCTGAGGTACTGTCAATACAAACACGACAGGGCCGACCAAAGTTCTATGTGCATTATGAAGAGTTCAACAAACGTCTCGATGAGTGGATCGAGGCCGAGCGCATTGACCTATCTCGAGAAGTTGAATGGCCTGCCCCTGAGAAAGCAGACAAGAAGAAGGGCACTGCTTCTAAGAACGAAAAGGCGCCCTCAAAATCTGACCAAAAGAACTTGAAGCGTTCACGTAGCAAGCTTGATCGCGAAATCTCAGGCACACCAGAGTCAACATCGAGCAACTTGCCAGGCAAAGCACCAAGGCCATCCAAGGCAAGCGGCAAGGAAAATCAGGAAGTCTTGGTCACTAGTGAAGTCACAGATGGTACTCCCAAGGCTGAAGATGAGGAGATGGACCTCGTTGATGTGCAAGACGCTGCTGCAGCTGCCAAAGCTATGCCTCCTCAAGACTTTTCGCGAGAAGACGAGATCGAAAAACTGCGAACATCTGGGTCCATGACACAGAACCAAACCGAGATCTCACGTGTGCGAAATTTGGAGAAGATTCAGATGGGCAAATACGAGGTCGAGCCCTGGTATTTTTCACCGTACCCCATCGACTTTGTAGACTCAGATGTCGTCTACATCTGCGAGTTCTGCCTGTCGTACTTTGGTGAAGTAACGCAGTTTGAGCGCCATCGCACAAAGTGCCACCTTCTCCATCCGCCTGGCAACGAAATCTACCGCGACGACTATGTGTCCTTCTTTGAGATCGACGGGCGGCGACAACGAACGTGGTGTCGTAACCTGTGTTTGCTCTCAAAGCTCTTCCTGGACCACAAGACGCTCTACTATGACGTTGACCCTTTCCTATTCTATTGCATGTGCACACGCGATGAGCATGGTTGCCACTTTGTTGGCTATTTCTCCAAAGAGAAAGAGTCTGCCGAAGGCTACAACGTAGCCTGTATTCTAACGTTGCCCCAATATCAAAGAAAGGGATTTGGTAAGCTGCTGATTGACTTCTCTTACCTCCTTTCCAAGCGCGAAGGCAAGCTGGGATCGCCAGAAAAGCCCTTGTCTGATTTGGGTCTTCTCGGATACCGTGCATACTGGCAAGAGATCCTGGTCGACATCCTCATGGAGCCCGGCCGCTCCGAAGCCAACATTGAAGACTTGGGGGCTGCGACGGCGATGACTACAAACGACGTACTGCACACGTTGCAGAACCTAAATATGCTGCGGTACAGCAAGAACCAACACGTCATCGTACTCACAGATGCAGTTATTGCTCAACGAGAGCGACAGAAGGCAAAAGAAAAATTGAAGGGCAAGAGAAGCATTGACCCTGATCGTTTGATTTGGAAGCCACCTGTGTTTTCAGCAGCGAGTCGTACTTGGAACTGGTAGAAGGTTACTGGCTATTTCGCTTTGCTCTATTCCAGCGGTTCTGCATTTTCACCATATCCTCTCTTTCCTCTTAAGAGAGTTCTTACGTTAAATCTTTCTTCTTTGAACTAGCTATACCCCAATACATTAGATTTGTTCATCCCCAGCCTGTAAAACCAGTTTCGTTCATGCTGGTTATTCAACAGAAGCTGCAGTAAATATGTGAAAAGTGGTTAAAGTTTTCACTCAGATGAGCGACTGGAATCAATAGTTAACGGAAACAACCCATTGCCCATAGAAGGTGAAAGATCGACGTTGTAACGCATTACCCCGCTGTCTGCAACCTCGATTTTAGACCACTCTACTTGTCAGGCCTATTGATTGCTTGAGCGTACAGCTAAAGTATGCATGCATGTATATTCGTGGGCCCAGCATCGGAGTACATGCATGGCGGGAAAATTGCGCAAGAACCCATTTACACGACGGACAGCTATGCATGATCCGATATGATGTAGCTGCACAAGAGCAAGATGAATAATAATCTTTGCTAAATACGACGCAGACAACTACTGGATGTCAAAGAAGGCATCCCAGCAGTATTTCCAAAAAAGCCTTGAATAACTCAAAGTCCTCCACAGGTGGTAATCACGGCAGGTGTTGCCCGAACGTCATTTTCAATTACTTTTAACCACTGTTCGAGGTTGAATGCAGGCGTTAGTCATGGCCCAACTTTTAGAAAGCTACTATTGGAAAATCACGTGACAAGAACCGGTACGCTTTTCTTTTGCCGGATGAGCGAGGAAGCATATTTCTTTTACTCTCTCAGCTTTGATGTCTTTCTCCAGATCGCTTTAGGCAGGGATCGCTTTTCTTGGGAATTATGCACTGTAGATGTTGTTTTTCCCACCCTTCTTTCCGGGAACGCAGACGTAATGGTGGACATGAACCTTTCCTGACTTACCTGCACAGCGTCAATGTAAGTTGGTTGTACCATTGCCGTGATCCAACTGGCTCCATTCCTGTGTGCATAATAGCTCTGAGACCATGAGAAGAACTGGGTATATAAACTGGTGATGATAGCCTTCGATTCTACTCACTCATCAAGCAACAACATCTTTCAACAATCCATCAATAACTCTTCGATAACCGCTCTCCCGGCTATTCACTCTCCCAGCTATCAAAATGCAGTTCACTACCATTACTTCCCTGCTCTTTGCTACCAGCGGCCTTGCCAGCGCTGCATCCCTCCGCCCTCGCCAGGAGAGCTGTGCCTCCAACACAGTGGGTGACTACACCTGGAGGATCAGCCGATTTGTCGGTCGCAAGCCTGAAGCTACCGACTACAACATGATTTCTTTCCATATTTCGTCCACCAATCCTGGATCTTCTTTCGAACAAGATTGTACTGCCAGGGCCGACCGCATTCAGGATAGCGTCTACTATTCATGCGGCACCGGCTTCGAATTTGCATTCGTTAATGAATACAACGGCTTGATTTTCAAGTACGGCACAGAGTAAGTTCAATCTCAACTAAACCCTCACCTGGAAATGCAGTTTTGTAGATTTTGAAGTATACTAATAATTACTCCTCTATTACAGCAACCCGATCACGGGCACCGTTGCTCTCCCTGTCATCTGCCGTGCGGGTGGCGCAGGCGCCAATGACCAAGTCTGCGAGACTTTCCAGGACCGCTACATCACGATGCTTAGGCTCCCTAGCAACTAAGCTGGATCATCGTAGGATGCCATTGGAAGGAGTAACTGATGCAAGACGACGTGCATAAGGTGATTCATGGTGGAGATGTGGTTGACAACTATAATATATAATTAGCGTACCTAATTTTAATCATTCAACCCGTCGAGTCAACGAAACTATGTTCTCGAATGAAACGCGTGCTGTTCTCTAGATACTGTTATGGTTGCGCCGCTGTTGAAAGAAGCATGAAGGAAAAGGTGGATAGTCTGCATGCAAGTCAATCGCACTCTAATCTGGATGCGTACCAGACCATTCAGGTCCAACTGCCCATGAGCCCCAAAACAGCCCTACTTGCATCCCCCCACATACCCATCACCACAAGCCTCAACATCGGACCATCGGACAAAGTCGCACGACAATATTTCCACGTGAAACACATGTCGCGCCGAAAGATGCACGCTTGAAACTTCAAAAGGATCCCTCATATCCACGTGACACACGCGACGCGTTCCTATAACACCAATCCCTCACCCCTGCCCCTCTTACCATCCCAAAGAATAAAAAAAGTTACAACAACACAAAATGTCGCTTTTTTCCCGCGCCAAAGATCTGGCGCTGAATCCAGACCACACACGATGGATAACGCCTCTCCTCCTCGTCGCCGATGCAGCCCTCAGCGGCGTGATCATCGAGAAAATACCGTGTTCGTTCTTATCCCTCCCGTTTACACACGTGGCCTCGACATTCCCTATTCCCCATCCGCCCTTGTCAAATCAGAAAGTAATCCAAGAGAAAAAAAATAACCCCAATATCACCAACATCAAACCATTTCATTCTCCCAGAATCAACAAAACTAATAGAAAATGCAACAGACACAGAAATAGACTGGTCAACCTACATGCAGCAAATCGCCATCTACCTCAAAGGCGAGCGCGACTACAAGCTCATCTCCGGGTCTACAGGCCCACTCGTGTATCCCGGAGCGCACGTATGGATCTACAAGCATCTGTACAAGTGGACGGATGAGGGGCGGAATATTGCGCTTGCGCAGTATATTTTTGCCGTAGTGTATTTGATGACGCTTGCGCTTGTGATGCAGTGTTATCGGAAGGCTAGAGTGAGTTTCAACATTTTTTATCAACTGATATCCTTGGCCAGGGGTTTTGGAGGTTAGATTTCAGTGCTGATGGTGATATAGGTACCACCATATATTTTCCCGCTTCTCATCTTATCAAAGCGGCTACATAGCATTTTCATGCTGCGGTGCTTCAACGATTGCTTTGCTGCGCTGTTCTTCTGGTTAGCGGTTTATTGTTATCAGCGCGACCAGTGGCATTTGGGAAGTGCGCTGTACAGCACGGGACTGAATGTCAAGATGAGTCTGCTTTTACCATTGCCGGCAATGGGAATGTTGATGGTGATGAAGTTGGGTGGGAGAGAGGCATTGACCCAGGCTATGATTATTGGACAGATCTCGGTACGCATAATTTCCCCTGCCCCAATACATGAAGGCATGAATTATCTCAATACTAATCATTCAAAAGGTTCTATGGGGCTACCCCTTCAGGAAACGCGCACCCAGCTACTTTGCTCGCGCCTTTGAACTCAGCCGGGCCTTTCTCTACAAATGGACCGTAAACTGGCGTTTTGTCCCGGAGTCTACTTTCTTATCCCGACCTTTCGCCCTCAGTCTGCTCGGCCTGCATGTTGTTGTTCTGCTCTGGTTTGCACGAACCCGCTGGATCAAGCCGTCCAAGCGCAACGTTCGGGAATTCCTCAAACTCTGCCTTCCCGTCCTTGAACCTAGGGACCAGGACACAATGTCCAGCAAAATCACGCCAGACTTCATCATGACGGGTATGCTGACTGCGATGACGATCGGCCTCCTCTGCGCAAGAAGCCTGCATTACCAGTTCTATGCGTATATTGCATGGTCAACGCCTTTCTTACTGTGGAAAGCAGGGTTCAATCCAGTTGTTGTGTATGCGCTATGGGGTGCGCAAGAGTGGGCGTGGAATGTATATCCGAGCACTCCGGCAAGTTCGGCGACAGTAGTAGGAGTTTTGGCGGTAACGGTCGTGGGTGTATGGTGGGGGACAAGGAAGGAGTACGAGGGCGTTACAAAGGGTATCATCGAAGAGGACCACCCACACAAGGAGTGAAGTAGTCTGTAGGAGAAAACTCACTCCTCATCCGAATCTGTAGGCGGCATCTTGCCAACGGTAGATTCTTCCTCGTCGCTGTCCTCGACGTATGTGGATTTCTTAGCGAACTCCTTGGGCCTGTAACACCATGTCAGCATCCTGTACACATAGCAACCTATGATACCCATGTTTCATACCAGTAGCTCATCTTCCTCCACGCCTTCTCGTCCCTGACTATGTTGACAATCTCCCCATCCAGCTTGTTATCCCTATCCGCCAGCGCAGATGTGTCCACCACTACGTAGCTACCCCGCTTTATCCAAACCGTCGACCGGAACTTGGGCTCGAGCTCTGCGAGAACAGGCTTCCCATCTGGAAGCTCTGCAGAGTATAGATTCTTTCCCTCCGCCTTGGTGATGCGCGCGATGAAGTGATTGGGAGAGAGCTCGTCAGGCGGCGTAATGGTGCTGTCTATCGTAGCGAGAACCTTGCGTTTAGGTGGCGGCATCCTGTCAGAATAAATTATATCGATTGTGTACAGAAAAGCGCGATGTGTGGAAAGACCATACGTCAGAATCTCTGTCTTCCTTCGCCGTTTCTCCAAATGGAGGGGTCGCCAAATTTCGCAAAAAGGGAAATTTTGGCCGATCCCGCCTTAACCCCCACCCACCCACTGCCGCCCGCAGCTCAAACCCAAGCCAGCCGCGCCCGCCTGCATTACCCTAAATCTCGCACTTTAATCACCGTTTAGGTATCGCTGCCTTTTATGCATGCTTCGGTCCAGATCTTTTTTATCTTTTTCAAAATTCTGGAACGTCTAAACAGCGGATACGTCGCTGTATTTGAAAAGGATCTCCAACGACTACACCAGCGGTGAAACGGCATGTGACTCTGCTGACCGTTCAACGCGACGTTGACGTACGTGGTTGGACATTCATACTGCAGTGCAAGTACGAAATGATTACGCCGTAGTGGTTGATAGGTGTTTTAACCGCTGTCTGGCTCTTATTCAGACTGGTACTCTGCATTGGTTAATCTACGCGGAATTTATCAGCAATGTCTTGGTGGCTGCGTCTTCTAAGTTGTTGAGGAGCTGTTCGTGCACTTCCCCTTTGAGCATTTTTCGACATTCCCCACATTGGGTTGCTCCGCCAGACTACTATGATGTGACTCCACTGGCCTTGGGGTACCACTGAGTTATAAGGACGTTTGCAATTCCCCAGCCCGTTTCCCTTATCTCGCCTCCAGCCTTTTCGACCGAGACCGGCGCTACTGTGATTGGCTGCTGTCTTGAGTACTTTGCTTTCCTCTTCAACGGCCGCCGTGTGGCTTTCCAAGCACGCAGAGGACTCGTCAGGATGTCGGCGCCATTTCACAGTCTCTTTGATATCCAGCCTGCCTCCCAAATCACCAACCCGGAACCTGCTTATAAGAAGAATTCGGACAAGGCACCGCATCATATCGGCGTTTTACCGGACGTTGAGCTTGATAACTTTTCCGTGAAAAAGGATGGCAACGACCGTCAACCGTCTGCCTCGAAGCAGTCATCGCAGAATGGGGCTGTGACTTCAAAGACACTTACTGAGCTCGAGAACAGCCGACCTGCAACACCGACTCATGATGATGGATTCGCTCGTGAGCGGACTTGGAACGCCGACCCCATGACCAAATGGAGGATCTTATGCTGCTGCTTGATTTACTTTTCCAATGGCATGAACGATGCAGGTAAGTAGGCGAACAACTACGGATATGCCAATCTTTATTCAAAAACACCTTCTGCGATCCAGTACTGACAGTTACCAGTCGTCGGTGCACTTATTCCGTACATGGAGAAACACTACCACATCTCATACACAATCATGTCTCTAGTCTTTGTCGGCACTGCAGCTGGTTTCATCATCGCTGCTTTTTTCACCAACTCGGTCTTGGGGAAGTTCGGCAGAGCAAAAACACTGGTCATCTCAGAGACCATACAGCTCTCAGCGTACATCGTATTGGTCTGCACACCTCCCTACCCGCTTGTGGTACTGTCGTAAGTATGCAATCCCGAACTACTAGCAACAAACTAACGAGAAAAAGCTTCTTCATGCTGGGATTCGGCGCAGCTATCAACCTAGCACTGAACAATGTCTATTGCTCACACACGCATCCTCCAAGCGTCATCTTAGGCCTCGCACACGGCAGTTACGGTGTAGGCGGCATTATTGCGCCCATCATCGGAACAGCCATGGCCTCGGGCGGCATTCTTTGGTCCCGCTTCTACTTCATCGCCGTCGGCGTAAGAATCTGCTGCATAGTCTTCGCCGCCTGGGCTTTCTGGTCCTTCAAAGAAGACACCGAGGATAATCTTCTAGAAACCACCACTACCCAACAGACAGCCGCAGAGGAAGCAACATCGAAGCTGAAAAACCTCAAGCACGCCTTGAAGAATAAAGTCACGTTCTTCGGGGCCCTCTTCATCTTCGCGTACCAGGGCGCCGAAGTCAGTATCTCGGGCTGGTTCATCTCGTACCTGATTAATTATCGAAACGGTGATCCTCGTACAGTTGGTTACGTGACGGCTGGATTCTGGGTGTGTTTTTCTGCCATCTCATCGCGACATATAATGTACTAACAGTATTTCTAGGGCGGCATCACAATTGGACGCTTTGTCCTAACGCATGCAGCACCCAGGATTGGCGAAAGAAAATTTGTCGTCATCCTTACACTAGGCACGGTTGGCCTCCAGCTTTTGGCCTGGCTGACACCAAACTTGATCGGTAATGCCGTCGCCGTGTGTCTTCTAGGTCTCCTCCTTGGCCCGATCTATCCTTGTGCTTCAACCATCTTCTCGCGTTTGATGCCTCGTAATATCCAGACGACTGCCATTGGCTTCATCGCTGGGGCAGGCAGCTCCGGTGGCGCCGTCGCTCCCTTCACGACTGGTATCCTTGCGCAAGCGTCAGGAACTTGGGTTCTGAATCCGGTATGTCTCGGTATGTATGGAGCCATGTTGGCTTGTTGGTTTGCGCTGCCCAGGGTGCGCAAGCGAACTGAGTAGATGGATCGGATATGCGACAAAATTCTACGTCAGTGAATATTACCACTATCCAACATGTTGATTCAGCATGCGCATCGAACGTTGACGGTGCATATCAACTCGAGGGCGTTCCACAATTGGTGGTTGTGAGCACTGCGACAGGTTATCAGAGGGTCCCACTAAGCTCACCATGACATCATTCTCCAACATCATCGGGACCCGTGGAACGCGCGTTGGATGTCGCCAACCCAGCAACTGTTACTCATATATCAGGTACTCTCAGTTAGAACTAAAATCCCATAAACAATTCCAAGCTCTTCAAACCCCTCATAAAACCATACCAACCTTTTCTACTTTTCCAGAAAATCACATCAAAAAAAAGATTCTATCACCTGCGAAAATGTCAGCCGAACAAGCCCTCCAAATCCTCAGCATATCCACCGCCCTCATCGCCTCAGGCGGCATATCCGCCTTCTCCCTCTTCTCTATCCCCATACTAAAATCCCAACCCGCATCACGCTCCCTCCCCATGGTCCGCTGGCTCTTCTCGCGCGGCTCCCACATCTTCCCCACCGCCGGCATCCTCTCCAGCTCCAGCTTCCTCCTCCTCACCTACCTCTCCCTTCCCCCCTCCACCCCCTTGTCCTCCCCCCAATCCCTCTTCCATGCCGCACTCCACGGCCGCCCAGCCTACTTCCTCGCCGCCTCCATCCTCTGCATTAGCATCGCCCCAATCACGAGTTTGCTCATGATACCAACGAATTTCACCTTGATAAGAATGAATGAGGAGCTGGGCGGATCGAGGAGTCAGAAGTCGGCGGAGTGGAGGAGCGAGAAGGGGGTAGAGGCGCGGAGTGCGGATCAGTCGGTCGAGGGGGAGCAGGATGTGAGTCAGTGGAAGGACTTGAGTCCGCCGCAGGAGAAGACGGGGAGGGAGAGTAGTGAGAAGGAGGATGAGGAGGTGAGGGTGTTGCTGGGGAAGTTTGAGAGGTTGAATGCGTTGAGGGCGCTGGCGATTGGGGTGGGGGGTGTGGTTGGGTTGATGGGGGTTACGGCGTAGGTTTTGGAAGGGGTGATGGATTTTGAAGACGTATAAAATGTAGCTGGGGATGTTAGTGTGTTTGATTGGTCGATTGATTTTTGTAGGATTAATTGTAAGATCTTTGAATAGGTTGGGGTTGTGGCTTGACTCGAGTACCGAGTTCTAGCCAAGAAGTTGGTGATTACATGAAATGCGGTTTGTACGACGAGCTAGTTCTTATTCTCCCATGCTTGAGATGTAGGGCTGAGGCTGATTACTTGGCTGTACGTAGTATGTAATCAACAATACCAAACTTACATTGCATCGTGACACTAGTACGATACTCTCCTCTCAGCTCGCTTACTGACCCCACAACAAGGGTTGTACTTCCTCGGCCTTAAGTACTACTACTCCCCCCATCCACCTCACTATACTAAACATTCCAACCCAAAACAGGTAGCCCCGCCCTCGTGTTCAATATCACCATCCCCGCCACTTCAGCCGTATCCAAACAATTTCCAACTCCCCAATCACGTTCCCGGCCCCATCCTGACGTGCTCGCCAAGCTAAATGGCGTTACCGCCCCATGCGGAGTCACCTGTCTGACATCAGCGGGTATCTATGTGTAGCATCGTACCAATGCGGGCGTAAGGAACTGGGTGCCTAGATAGAGAGTATAAATGAGAAACAAGACAGAGAGATAAAATGCCGCATCCTTAGCTTGTTTGTGGATTTTGCCAAGGATGATTGAGCGTTGAGGTACAAGTAGTATCTCACTTACAAATCCACTCCCCATCTTACAAATCATAGATCGTGCTTTTGTCAGGCTGAGCGTGTTTTTTCTTTGAGATATTAGAGAAGCATCTCAGCAAAAATGCACCGCGCCCTCACCCTCCCCGAAGTTCTCCTCTCTGTAATCTCTTACTTGCCCATCCGGGACCTCCTAATATGCCATGCCGTCTCATCCGGGTGGCGCCGCATTCTCGTTGCAAACCTACCCGCTCGAATGCGTCCACTACCTGATACCCCCTCTGCTCCCCTCCGGGAAACTACGCTTGTCTTACCAGATTCCATACGTAGCCTAGCCCGTTCACTCAATCTTCGTCCGAAAGAGCTCATCAATTGGATCATCCAGCCAGAGATCGAGACGGACTACCTGATCTGGCGGAACGCGGCTACGGATGAGCTGCAGGAAGCGTTGGGGCCGTATATGCATCCTTTGCTAGTGGCGCATACGTATGACTTGACGGGCGGGATAGAAGATGTAGCAAGGGGACAGATGGGTATTTCCATTAGAACGAAAATGGGGCTAGGAGAGTTTGAACGGATGCTTGAGATAAAGAATGACGAAGAGGAAGGGATGAAGTATTTGACGCAGCCAGTGACGAAGAGTGTGGAGGTAAGGTGTTTGGATGGAGCGGAGTGGGATGAGGAGTATAGGAATGTACGGACGACAGCGGGTGACATGGAGTGGTTGAGAAGATGTGTTAGAGTTGAACGGGAAAGTGGGGTTAGAATGTGTGATGTTGTTGATGAGTTGAGGGGGGTGATTGAGGCTGAGTGGAGCGTGCAGCAGGGATCCGGTAATGTGCTGCTAGATTGGCGCATGGGTGATTGTCCCGAGAGGCATCTTTTCCATGCTTTTGACCTCACGGGATGATTGATGGATGTGATTTCGTCGGGACATGTACGTTTGCTGCGATCTGCAGACGTCTACATGTTCTGGCACAGGATGAAAAAGGATACGGACAGGTTCTGAAACCAAAGCACCAACGACGCTTAGGTACCGCTTGTGTGAGGAACTGATAGTGGCGAATAACGGGAGACAAGATTCTTCAGAGGACAAAGGAAAGATGGAAAACAGATAGCGGCACAGGGTGAGAGGCACTGTCGGGATGGCAACCTTACCCAAAGATCTGACCAAGTCAAAGCAGAGATATGACCATCGGGAGAAGGAAAGAAAGGAGATGGGAAAGTGAACCGTAATGATTATAGTTCCGATGTTTGTACAAAATATTATCAACCAACATCCAGTGTTGGCTTCTTGAAAAAGTTTAATACAAGGAAGATTGATGCGCTGACCCGATACCGTCTATCTATCGCTGATCTTGACTCGCAAAGACGACGAATAATGCGTACATGGATTAGAAGTTCATCAAATCTAGCACACGTTAGCTCAAGTTGCTTCTTACAAATAAACAACATGCTACTCACCTCGTCCAAAAAGTGCTCTCTTCGTCCAGTCCATGGCAAGCAAAAACCTTGTTCGGAGACTGACACTCTGGGCAAAGTATACTCCTCGCCACAGGTAAACAGCCAAGAGGCCTCCACTCAACCCATAACCATTGTAGTCGAAAATTGCGGCGTTGCCAATATATGCCAAGGATCCCAGGTGCTTGTACTCGAATGCCTTGTAAACTGCATCGTCCAAATCACCATAGTCGACATTGTTCAGAGCCATGCCTGGTGCAGCCTGGGCAATTTTGTTGAACTTACGACCAAGGTACTCGCCCTGTTGGTTAGCGCGTTGAGCGGTGGCAGGGAGGGAAGTGAGCTTCGAGTCGATTTGGAAAAGAAGCTCTCTAAGCTCGCCAAAGTCGAGAGTGCCCGACTTGTCCTTGTCGTATTGCTCAAAGAGCTTATCTAGACGGCGGAGATGGTTGGAAGCTTGAGGAAATCGCTGCTTGACACGCTTGGCAATGCCACGCCAGTCTGAATAGGAAATATGCAGGCTTTCGGGGTCCTTGCCCTTCTCCCAGGCCGTGGTGCGGAGAAAGTTCACAATATGATCCGAGACATTGTTTTGTACAGTTGCGCAGTCACCGATGGCATAGACGTCTCCGAGGGGTGCTCCGTGGAGACGAAGATGTGTATCAGTTTCCAGAGCGTGTCTATTGTTCTGACCATCAAGCTTAGCAGCAAGACGCTTGCAAAAGTCTGTTTGAGCCACGCCAGTAGACCAAAGACAGAAGCCCATGGGAATTTCCTTGGTGACAAATTTTCCGTCTTCGTCTTTTTGTGAGAAGAGAATCCTGTCTGATTGGACCTCCTTGACGCGTGAGTTTGTGAGAATGTCGACCGAGTCGTGCGCGAAGCGCTGCTCAGCATATTGAGATAATGCTTCGTCGTAGGTATTAAGAATGTGGCCACGCGACTGAATTACGTGAACAGAAATCTCGTTTCGCAGAAGCTTTGGGTATAGCTTGCAAAGGTCTTCGTTCAGCATGTCAAAGAGCTCAGCTGCGAACTCTACACCAGTAGGTCCACCACCACAGACCACAAACGACAGGAGTCGGCGCCTCTCTTCGTCTGAAGTTGTCGGCAGACACGCGCTTTCGAGATTCTTGACTACCTGGTTGCGGATGATCCTGGCATCGCTGATGTCCTTGAGGAAATGGCAGTATTCTAGGCCCTTGACACCGTGTGAGTTGGACACGGATCCAACACCAATTACCAGCTTGTCGTATGGAACATAGAACCGTTGTTCCTTGCCTTGGGCGTCTACAGCTGAACACTCAACAAGCTTCTCTGAAAACTCGACATCTTCGGCTTTCGCCTTGAGGAAATGCCCACGCACTCTCCTTACAATCCTTCGGACGGGCTCAACAAGCGATCGCAGTTCCAGAGTACCCACAGTTGCAGACGGGAGCATAGGCGTGAAAAGGAAAGTATTCGACGGCGAAATCACTGTGACGTGATAATCATCCTCGTGTAGTTGCTTGAGAAGTGCAACGCTTCCCCATCCCGTGCCCAAAATGACTAGCTTGGGTTTGTGCTTGAGTTGTTTGTTCTCAGGGCTCTCGTCATCGTCTACAAAGTGATTGGCAATCGGAAGGTTCTTTGGTCCTCCTCTGGGTGGATTCAGGGCAAGTTCTGATACGGGGAGGTCTTCGGTAATAGGGTCCTCATTGTAGGTGTAGGCATCGTAAACGAAGAAGCCGGCGACAAGAATGCCGCTCACTAGGACGAAGGAGCCGAGGGTTGCTATTGTCCTGTATGTATACCGCACCAACCGTGACCTTTCTGCTGGGTGTGTCCTCGTAGATTGGTTTCGTGTGACGGTAGAGGCGGGGTGTTGCTTGCTCAAGGGGGATAGCTGCAGGGTAGCGCGTTTGGACGCAGACACGGGGTTGCCATTGCTGAAGGAGGTGCGGAATTGGGAAGTCGGAGGGCGAGGAAATCTCCTACACAGAAGAGGAGCCCTAGAGGTAATGTTGTATCCGCGCGACAGCGAAGTGGCGTGCCGTGGGAGCATTGCGGAGGATCCGAGTGGTAGCGATGCAACCGGAAGCGGGAGTGGGAGTAGTGATTAGGGAGATTGCGAGCTGAACGCGCCCGAAAGGTATGTCGGCAATTGGACCACAATTGCAAAATTAACACAGTGATATCATGTGGAAGGAACAGCAAATGCACTCTGGATATGTCACAGTTGTGCAGGGACAAGTAAAAAAGGATGCTGGGAAGGGCGGAAATGTTTGTCGGATGCCGGGTTACGTCACCATCAATAATGATGGGTTGATGGCTGAACTCGGAGCTTGCCGGCCATCCCTGTATGGCTGTCAACCAGGTATTCTGCACGCACCACCACATATGCACACGACAGTCGCGCAACTATTTCAGAAAGGAGAATCGCAAAGATAATATTCTACATAGACATACTATGTTCCGTGTATAGAAACGCCCAGGCGTTAAGAATACAGCAAACGAGAGCAAACATCATCTTCTAGTCGTACAACATCATCACCATGTTCATGCCTGGCCATGTATGCGTACACTCCAATCGTATATACATCCATCTCTTGAGCCACAATCACTCTCATACTTCTAGCACGACCATATGCCAACTGTGCCGTCCCTGCGTCCTTCCACGAGGTAGCCATCCTTGATTCTCACGTGCTCAATGATGGAGTGTGTTGTCGTGTCTTCTTCGTTGGCACCGGGCCCGCAGTTCCAGTGTCTTCCGTCCGTCTTGTCGTAGACCTTGACCACGTCCTCGCCAGCGGCACTGACAATACGACGCGAGTCGAACATCATGCTAGTTACAGGGTGGTCGTAGGCATAAGCATCGGCGATAGCGCCAGTTCGGAGATCCCAAATCTAGATTACAGGTTAGCGACATGATTGTGTATAAGGCTGACTCCAACTTACGCGAATGCTCCTATCGGCGCTACCGGTGACAAGGTGAACATCGTCGAATTGCAGAGCAGTGACGGGACCAGTGTGACCAACTAGACTCCGGTGTACCTGACCGCTTCGCAGATCCCACAGGCGAACCATTCCATCTGCGGTACCACAGGCAAGTGCAGCATCAAAGACTTGGATAGCTCCAACAAAATCAGCAGCACTGTCAGTAGCGCGGCCAGTCTGTTTCCATCCACTGTTGGTCGTATTTGCGGCAGTTGCTTGCGCAGCGGCCCAGAGCACATCCAGCGTTTGCACACAGCGTCCTTTGACAAGATCCCATTGCCTGAGCGTCTTGTCGGCAGAACCAGAAACCAGTGTGTCACCACGGAAATGAAGAGCCGTGACTTCGTCAACGTGCGATTCGAGAGAAAACATGGGGCAGTCTTGCATGCTAGTCGACGGAGGCGCGGGGGGCGCGTCTTCTGCGTTTTCGAATGCGAGACCATCATCACTTTCCTCGTCCTGCTTGTTTATCCGGTTGTCCATAGGGGCGTACTCGGCTTTGCTCAGATCCCATAGCCGTATCGAAGCGTCCATCGAACCAGTGGCGACAATGTTGTCCTCGACCTGAAGGCAGCGTACCGAAGAGAGGTGACCCTCAAGCATTCCTATGCATCGTCCAGCACTGAGATCCCATACGCGTACAGTATCATCCAAGGCAGCCGAGACCATCATACCCCACGGCGCGTCAAAGTCCATAGCTGTGATAGATTCCATATGTGCGGGCAGTTCCTTGATCTTAGATCCTGATTGCAGATGCTCATGCAAGACGGGCATGGACATGCGCTTTGAGAGGCGCTTAGCCTTGCCTCTTGTCTTAGGCGACGAGGGTATCTTCTGGTATATTGACTCGGACATGAACTCGCCCTTGCCTTCTGACTGCTCATCGCTTGTTTGCGACCCTGCTGTCTTGGGCGCTAGGGCCGCTTCATCATCCAACTCTTCCTGCAGGTCCTCGATCTGGTTATCCACAGTTAACAGACCCTGCTCCAGCTCCCCCTCTTCGAGTTCGAGCCCCGCCAGACGATCAATGACCATTTTGCGCATCGTATTCAGGTTGGCAATCTTGTTGTCGATTTCATGAATCTCGGCCACGCACATGTGCTTCCGCACACCCATCATCTCGAGGCGGTGGGCCATTGAGCTCCGCTGCGTCTTGAGCTTGCGCATCGACGGGGGCACATTGGGGTCGTCATCTTCGACGCCGGCGCCTATCAGTCGCTGGCCGCGCGCGTTGTGGCGGGCGCCTGAGGAGCGGGGGAGGATGCTGTCGGGCTTCTCTGGCAGCGAGGCCTCGAAGCCCTGGAACAGCGAAAACTCGCTATTATCTTCTGGAATATTTGCGAGCAGGTCGTTTGGGATGTAGGCGAGGGCGCGCTGCTGGATCTCGGGGACGGATATGCGCGAGCGCACGAGCTCGCGGGGTGTGGTCTGGGCAAAGGAAAAGACGGAGCGCTGCATCAAGGGCCGTCGCAGCTCACGATGGAGCTCGCCGAGGGCGTTGTGATAGTGCTGGGAGACGCCCTCTGCGCCAATTAGACTGCCAGCCGTCGCCGTGACTTTTTTACCAAAGGCCTGCAGATGGCGGGTCTAGCGAGCATGTTAGCATGGCGCTGTGTGCGGCGGGAGAAATTGCAGTGGGGCTGTCTACATCTGGCAACGAGTCTATGAAGCTTGCTTCTTCGGGGCGCTGGGGGCGGTGCTGGCTGTTCTGTTGGTGTTGCTGGTCATCGTCAAAGAGCTGCGAGTATCTGGGGGAGCGCGGGCTGGTGGAGCGTCCGCGGCCTGGTGATCCATTGCGGGCGGTTGACGAGGCCATCCGAGCGCTGGTGGGTGGAGGGGGCGGGCGAGCAGGCGGGCGGGACGGTGACGAGCAAACGCAGTAGTGCAACGGGCTTGGTTATGTCATCATCCACCGATAGAAGCAGAGGGGCGGGCCGGCAGGGCGGCGGGCGGCGAGTTCAAGGGCGTGTGAGGCGCGATAGTATCAACTGAGGGCATGGATACGGGCGACAGGCCTTGTCCTTGGTGTTGGTCGGCATTCCCGCTGCGTCATCCGCCGAAGCTCAGCGCCGATGGTCGGGTCTTAGTCTGACCTGTATGGCCTATGTAAGTACAACACGCTGGCCACCATGGCTACCCTCTCTGACATATACACTCGCGCTGCTCCCGCCGTCTCCCCGCCATGGACGCTGCCATTGACCTCTCCGATGCCTCCAAGGCGCTCGACCTTGCCAACATCCGCTTCCAGCTCATGTACATGTCTCCCGCCCACCGCGCCTGAGTCACCAGCAGCTGACCCTCGACTAGCCGTCTCGAGGACACAATCACCTTTCACCTGATCGAGCGCGTTCAGTTCCCTTTGAATCAGACCATCTACCGCCCAGGTGGCGTCGACATTGGCGAGCCCAACACCAGTTTGTTTGACTGGATGCTCCGTGAGCAAGAACGTCTCCAGTCCCTCGTGCGCCGCTACCAGTCTCCCGACGAGTACCCTTTCTTTCCAGAGGTCCTCCAGGAACCCATTCTCAAGCCCATCAATTACCCCCAGATTCTGCATCCCAACGATGTCAATGTAAATGCAAAGCTTAAGGACTGCTACATCAAGCACATTCTACCCGCTGCTTGTCTTCAGACCGAGCGTGGAGACCGGGGCGAGTCACAAGAAAATTACGGGTCTTCTGCCACCTGTGATGTCTTGACCATCCAGGCTCTGTCGCGGAGGATACACTTTGGAAAGTTTGTTGCCGAGGCAAAGTTCCAGCAAGAGACGGAGCGATTTGTAAAGCTCATCAAGGACGAGGACCGGAAGGGCATTGACGAGGCTATCACGAATGCTGCTGTTGAGAAAAAGGTGCTCGAGAGACTGAGGTTAAAGGCAAAGACATACGGTACCGACCCTGACCTGGGCGCTAATGGCTCTTCAAAAGTAGATGCCGATGCTGTGGTTGCCATGTACAAGGTAAGTTTGACTCTGAATCTTATTACATATATGCACTGACATGTAACGATAGGATTGGGTAATTCCCTTGACGAAAGAGGTCGAGGTGGAATATCTCATGCAGCGGTTAAAGGGCACCCAATGGGAGTAAATTAGAGTATGGAAACATGCAAAACCGACTTTTGGCCTCCCTTGGAATTCTAGACATAGAGCACCAAACACTACCCAACCTGGAATAGATGGTAATTACCACTTCCACCTCTGAGCATAGCCAATTTTGCCCGCCCTGCATTCAAATGACCGATATGTAACACGCTCTTGCCCCATTACCAAACGCTCTTTCCTCCGTTTTTCCGCTGCACCTTGAACTCCACATCAATAGACCCACTTCATCCCCCCATCAAGGCTCCTGCTCAGTCATAGCCTCCAACCTCGTCCTCACCATCCCCGGATTCGACCTCCCCCTCTCATCCGTCCAACACCGCAACACCTCCTCCCTCATAATCCGCCTCGGCGCCCTCTTCCCCGTAAAAAGCTCAAACTGCGCAAATCCCTGTTCAGGCAACAGATCCAAACCATCAAGGCAAATCCACGATGATGATGCTGCCGCCTCCCCCCGCACCTGCCTCGTCAACGGCGTATTCAGCGTGCGATACGCAAGTTCGATTACCACACCTCCCGATGGCGACTGCATCCAGTGCTTCGGCAGCGTGAAATCTGGGGATGGCTCGCCATTGACAGAGTGCGTGGGGATGCAGGATACGATGACGGTTGCGGGGCGGAAGTCGTGGGGCCACGCTGTGTCTCTTGAAGATAAGATACGGAATGTAGGTTGTGTATCTTGTACGAAAGAGGGAAAGAGCGTTGCTGCCTCGGGACTCGCTGCCAATTGAGTAAAGTACGTAACCAGCGTTTCAGCGTGTGCGATTGTACGGTTGAAGATGGCAATATTCTTGATGCCGAGATGCAACATGGCGTAGATTGCGGCGCGGGCCATGCCGCCGGCGCCGATGACAAGGGCGGAGGTGATGGAGGGTCGCACGGCGTTTGCGGGGGAGAGGCCGCGACGGATGCAGGAGCGGATGCCGATCCAGTCTGTGTTGTCGCCAAAGAGGGCTTTGACGGGGCCAGATTGGTTGCGTTCTTGGAAGAGTTCGAAGCTTTCTGCGTTGGGGATGGTGCCATCTGTGTTCAGATGGCGGATTGGGAGGAGGGTGTTGATGGCGCCTATTGCGCGGGCGTGGCGGCTGACTGCGTGGGTGAGGGCGATGGCGTCGACTTTGAAGGGCTGGCTCACTGCTGTGCCGCCGAAATTCGGTTGGAGGATTAACTTCTGAATGATCTCGCCTAGATTCCTGGTTTCTATGCTCTCGAAGTGATGTGGCATCCCACAGGCTCGGTACGCGGCGTTGTGCATTGCTGGACTTAGACTGTAAGCTGTTGCTGCACCTGTGATGTAGAATTTCATTGGATCGTAGGTGAATGAAGCGTATAATATGTGCGTAGCTTCTGTTACAGTAAGCCATGACGTTTCCGGGTTCTCCTGAGCTCTTTCTTTGAAGTTATCGCTATTCCTCAGCTTCTCTGGAATTACTGGTGTGAGAACCTGATTGAAACAAGCAGAGCGGCGTCCTGCCCTGCCAGTGTTGTAACATATCATTGGTATCCTCTGGGACTTTGCGTAGATCGTATTTCGGAACGACTGGATCGCCGCATTGTCGTCCATGAAGTTGGCCGGGCGCGTGAAGCGTGCGATACTGCACCCCAGCCGCATTGCCGTGTCATATTTTTCCAGCCAAAATACATCATACCAGTCCATTGCAGCGTGTAAGTGGCCAATGATCTTTGTAGACCCCCTGGATGCGACAACGGCCTGTATCAGCTCTTCATCCATGGTCAGATCGACTGTTATGAACTCTGGGGCCATCCGCAGACCATGCCATAAGCTAGCAAGATATGCTGTTACGGAGTAGCTCGGATTTGTTGATATAGGCATGACATGGTAGATGATTGGCGTGACGGTACTCCTGCGCACCCGAGATATGCTTTTGCTAATGTCCTCGGCATAGTCTGCACTAAGTTGCTTTGGTTCCACTACGATCTCGAAGGCATCACAGCCAAATTCTAGTTCCTCGATATCGACATCGTCAGAGGTGAGGTCTGAGAGTTGTACTTGCACAGCACATGTGTAGTTTCTTAGCTCTAAATCAATGTATGATAAGGGGAAGTAGCCGGGATCTAACGTTGGAGTATCGCTTTTTGTGCTGCCTGGCGTACCCCTAGGCGATAAGATGCGAGCCAAAAACTTGAAGAAAGTTCTTTCTGCTCTTTTCAGTGTTAGGAAAGCTGGCACAGAGCGTTGCTGGGCAGGAGCGACGGAAAGATGTGAAGCATTCGTTTCAGAGATGTTGTAGAATTCATAGTTTGAGCACCGTCGGAACACGGGTGTGCTGATAGCGACTAATTCTTGAACTTTGGCTTCATCGGTTTCCAAGTATTCACGTATGCTGCGGGTGTCCCGTGTGATGTGAATGACAGGGTGCGATGCTGAGAATTCGCGTAATAGAGACTGGGTGTTGTTGTCCAACGGAAAGCTTCCATTACAAACAATGATGGCGCCTTTGCTGTGATTATGAAGTACATCGCGAAGTATCTCTTCCTGGCGAAGGCTGCGATTTGAGGATCCGTATTGTTTCCGATATGCTGTTGTTGAAAAGCCGGTGGCAGAATGAAAGACGCTTTCCATGTCGATAACTCTTTTTTGACAGGTTACAGATGCCATCATGGCCAATGTCGCTTTTCCTGTTCCATGCATTCCAATGAGAACAATTGATGCCCTCGAATCAAATACCCGCCGGAACTCATGCTGAGGAGGTGATGGTGTAGACCTTGCCGAATTGGGTAGACTTCGTTGTTTCGACGCCGGTGGAGACGGCGTTGGGAGTGAACCGCGCCCGTCTCTTGATCGGCTTTCTGTATTCATTGTCGCGAATGAGCGTTTGATGCCGACCTTCACAGAAGCCATGGCCCTCAATCTTGCCGATGTGTTCCTGACCGCGAAGCATGAATGACTTCGAGTATCGCATCGACTGGGAATCGCTTGTTGTCCTGGCGAATCACGTGACGTCGGCTCTCCCCGCTTTTCCCAGGATAAATCTTTATCCTACTACGGGAACCCTTCCCCAGCTTTCTCCACTCACCATCATTCGGTCATTTACATGGATTTCTTCGGCCCAGGCAAAGATGCCTGCTTTCCCGGGCCTAGATTGAGTCTCAGATTCCTCTGCTAGCGAAGATTTGGGGTTATGCTGTAACACCTACCTAATTGATCTTTCCGCAACGAAGAAACAAAACGCAACTGATGTCTTCGCAAAGCCAAGATAAGCGCCGCCTAATCTCGCAAGATGTTCCTGTAAAACGATTCCGAGTATCTAGAGCCTGTGACCAATGCAGGACTGCCAGAGAGAAATGCGATGGCAACCAACCCACTTGTTCGCCATGTGTAGACAACAAACGGGACTGCACGTACACTTCAAACCCAAAGAAACGAGGATTACAACCTGGATACATACGCGGCCTTGAAACAACATTAGCATTTGTCTTTCAGCAGAATCCCGAGATCGAGACAACGGTGTATAACCAATTATTCCAGGAGAATACGGTTTTGCTTGCACGTGGCACTAAAGAGTCAAATCGATTATACAAAAGCTGGACCAAGAGCAGATTCTGTCAGGATCTTACCAAGGTCTTAGCTGGGGAACAAATAGAAACGAGAGACGAAAAGCAACCAAGCCCCAATGACGACAGCGACGTGGATATAGAAGATGCAACCTTTAATCAGGCAACGCCTGGGGCTCAATCACATCAATCGGTAAGATTCCAGAAAAAACGTATCAAGATGTATAATAACGTGAACAGTTTCCATCAGTCAGTGCCCCAAGTCATGTACCAGAACAAACGCCCAGACCCTCATTATCGGACCTTCTTTTTCCCAGTGTGCAGCAATCTGTGATTTCCTCGCCACTTATGCCACTACCTGCAGACTCATGGAAACTCTTGGAGACTTATTGCACATATACACAATGCTGGTTACCAATTGCGGATAAGCTAGAAATACTCAAGTTATCCTATTCCTATCCTGAACAGGGACTAGAGTTATCTTGCGACATGCCCAATTCTGGAAGTCACGCCGAGATGTGGAGTATATTTGCAGTAGGGTCTCTTCAGATTGACGCCAGAAATACAAACGCCGATCTACGAGATGAGCAACCTGAGAAGTTCTATAATGTCGCTAGGCTTCTCATCCCTAACGAATTGGGACAATTAGGTCTTGATCATGTCAAGGCCTTGCTAAATCTCGCTGTGTTTGACATTAGTAAGAATTTGTTCAGTGCTGCTTGGCGGCTTGTCGGCACTGCTTTGCGAATATTTCTGACCACCACAAACCCACCGGATATGAATAAGACCCAACGAAAACATATCCTATCCAGTTGTTTTGTCCTTGACACTCTACTTTCTTCACAATTGAAATTACGTCCTTATCTGGATAAAGCTGATCTAGATTGGATGGGGAAGATAGAAGAGGATGGAATGGAAGAATGGCAACCTTGGAACGGGCAGCTGAGAGTGTCATCAGCTCACCAGCCGCCATCACCAACCTTATCATTGAGTACATTCAATGCTCTCTTGGACTTGGTAGATATATTCGGGAGCACTACACGTCCTCAACATGCCCCAAACTTCCTCCACGAGATGATTAGCCGGCTGGAGGCATGGAAGTCTTCGCTGCCACAGAAACTCGACTATATTCGAAAAGAAACTACTCCTATGACGCCACCTGCTTTATTGCTTCGATTCACCTACTGCGTAACTGCACTGGCGTTTGTTCCTTCTCATAACTGGTTTCAGCAAACCCTGGACGTGCTCAGCACAATGAACGCCCAGCTCGGAGCGGCGAGAATGCCTGCCATCGTCTTTTGCCTTCTCAAGAGTATCAAAAAGAGCAGTTCAACCCTGGTGTTTGATCAGACAACCCATGTCGGAATGCGTGAGCTATTTACCAGCCTTGATCAGTCATTAGGGCGACCAGAAGAAGTATCCATAGGCACTCGTGACGCAACAGGCTCACGCGAAAACGTATCACAAGATGTCTCAGGGTCAATGCAAGCATCGCCTTCGTTTCCCATACCGAACATGGGCGAGCACTTCATCGAGGGATATCAGCGACCATCTGGCTCTTCAGCGCATGTAGATGGCCTTTTGCCTGCAATGAACAGCGCACAAGAAGGAGATAACCAACACCCATTCAACCCGTTTGACTTCACCATGAATATCTTAATGCCGGAATCTCACGATCCTTACAACGCTCTGATTTCGGGAGATCTGGGGAACTTCCTCGACGACTTTGCTTCAGAGCATGGAGCGAAAAAGCTACAAAACCAACCTCAATTTATGGAAAATCTAGGGTTTTCTGCAGAGATAAGCATGGCCGATCTACTGGCGACGGATCCTACTCGATTCTTGACTACGGGTCCGCAGCCAGCGCAAGATGAGAACGAGAATTCTACGCAACTTCCGTTTAACACGCTTTATGAAAGAGGTCGAGATATCTAAATCTTCAGGATTTTGAAAAATATATTTGCTTGCTACTAGAAATGTTTTAATATAAACAGTTGCGAAGAAAAACAGTTGCGAAGAAAAACAGTTGCGAAGAAAAACAGTCTGTATGGAGACTGGTTGTTTACATACTACGCTATCAAAATTGGTATCATAGGAACAAATGAAAACAAACGGCTCATGCACTAAAGGCGTGCAACTTCAATCTCCTGAATGACGTTTTTGGTTTCCTGTCCCTTCTTACTATGCAAATTTGCCAACTTCTGCGAACCAGGCGACACGCCGCCAATGAACCCCAAATCCTGTTGCAATTTCCTCCAAGATTCTGCAGCACGCTCTGCCAATTCTTCAACAACCGCATGGTCTGTGCTATTCATAATTCGGTTGAAGAGCTCCATACTGACCCATCCATCATAGCCGACCTCTTTGAAGATGGCGTGTACAACTTCTCGTACCGGCAAGTATGCTCCACGTGAGGTCTCACCATAGAAGAGTCTGCAGTTTCTGCTCCATGACATGCGCGCCGGTTGTTCTACATTGTAAAATTCATGGCCACGTACCAGGGGTTGCGCGAGCCGTTCTGCATCGACAACCTGGACAAAGAAAATCTTCTCCTTATGTGGCTTGATTCGTTCGACAAGCCGTTGCATAGACTCGCGAACCTCTTTTTCTGCGTCCGGGGTTTTCCTCGTTTCTGAAGTGGGATCGGCGTATATCCTCGCAAGGATGTTGAAGCTGTCGAGGCAGATGCCAAAGTTGGGTCGATCAACCCGCGTTACAACGTCCCAGCATTCTTCCCACTTGTTCACACGCGTGCCCCAACCCAAGCTTTCGTACGCAAAACGCATGACTGGCGACTCTTGAAGCCCGAGATCTGCAATTTCCCTGAGGTCGCTGACGATGAGCTCCATGTCGGAGGTAACTTGATCCTCTGGAAGGAAAGACGACGGAACTTGAATGATATCCGTTTGGAGCACCTTGGCCAGCTTTATCCACAACTTCATCTCTTCAACCCTCTCTTCATGTCGTTTTCTATCCACCAGACCCTCATAGTGCATAAATGGTTGCAGACAAATAATCTCGAGGCCTAGTGAGGAGCAGAGACCCCGAACAGAAGCAGCGCCTGCGAGAAGAGCAGAAGGCGAGTCGGAACCAGCGTGATCAACCAAGTCTTCAAAAAAGAGCTCGATACCCTCAATCCCATGCTTTTTGGCCATGGAAAGTTTGTGCTGAAGGCTGTGGCCAGCGTAGGACCGGCCTAGCGACATGGACGAAATCCCCAGACGACACGGCATCTTTTCGTAGTGTCGAATATGCAACAAAAAGTAAACCTTAAATAATCAGAAATACGAAATCCTCAAGACAAATGCAACAATCGAAGATTTTCAATAGTAGTAACCAGTTAAATCCAGCAAGCACACCACCCGCCCCCCTCTACTAATAAACCAATCCCCCAGTCCCCACATCTCGCCGCCTGATCACCAACAACAAACCCCCGAGAACGCATAACCACGCACGTTAATTCTTTTGCCCCTCATTCCTACAGAGCAATAATCCTTTATCCCCAGCGTTAGCACCCCAACCAAACCACACCCCCTCGGCATCATCCTAGCCCCCAGACTACGCGCGCTGACGCCATGCAAACGTCCGCGAATCAAGTTACAACCGACACCACAAAATCCCCCGATGGTATCCGCCGCTTATCTCGGGGTTTAAAGATACTGCGCTAGCCTTTTGCAACCGGGGTATGCCGTTGCGTTCTTGCTGCGGCATGTGCGTCTGCGTGCTGTGTCTACAGGGTCCTGCAGGGTAAGGATGAAGGAAGCATGGTGGGTGACGTAGACGGGCGAGCTAACAAGGGTGGAAAAGGATTTTTACCCGCGAGAGTTACTAGGTTGCGGTGTGGCGGTGGCTCGTTGCTCGGACGCATTCTGGGGAATGGACTTGGGGCTTGTGCGGGGGCGGTCTGAAGATGGGGAGACTTGGCATGCAGGTGAATTGTTTGGAGAGGGTTTAGAAGGAGTGCCGGTGGTGTGGGTATGTGTGCGTGGATAAGGTGTAGCCGGGGTTGTGATGTGCGATCAAAGAGAAGAACTCGGAGGGTTTTTTTTGGTTTCATGTAGTCATGGGTTCACTCAAGTGCTTGGTGTAATTGATTCATGATATCTTCATTAGACTACTTCGTTTCATACAACGTGCTACAGTGCGCCGGCTGTCTTAAATCCCTGTATATCTAAATGACTTTTTAAGCCATTGTGATACGCTCATCTGCCATTGCCTTTTCGTCTCTATGTGCCATAGTTTCGTTCTCGTGTTCGGCCAATAAATCGACCATGATGCCGTGCGCCTTGTGCGTAGGCTTGATCT